CAAGGAACTTTGTTCAGGTGATGGGCACACTGGTAGCCCTGACTTAAGCGTTATAAAAGCAATCCATGTGACAAAAACATTTGTACTCCCTTGATATTTTGAAATAATAAAAGAAAGAAAAAGAAAAAACTCCAAAAACAAAGGGCAACATTTATCCGTTATCTCATCTGATACATAGTGTTTTTCAGTCCAGATTCAAGAGTAACCACTGCGCAGGCTCAAAGAGCTTAATGGAGCCATCAGACTGACCAGCCCTTTCATGGGTGACAGAGATGGCTGAGACATTGGCTAACTTGCCCACGGTGAGGTGGCTCCTCTGTGGCAGAGCTAGAACTAGAATTCTGATGTCTTGATTCCTGGACTAGTGTACCCTTCCTATGGACCAGCAAGATAAATGACTCCAAAAGGACATTACACACATTGGAAACTACGAAACATGAGACAGATACACACCATGTGCAGCTCTGAGGATGTGAGGGAACTCCTGGATTTCTGGGTGTGGGTATCTCTTTTCAGTTGGGAGTCAATGGGGATTTAAACTTACAAACTGATAATGTCCACTTATTGTGATGGGTGCTGATTTTATGAGTTCTATGACCTAAAGGTTTTAATTTGAAAGGATCCTTGGTGAAAAAAATAGAACATTTTAATATGAGCCAATTGATTGTCACAGGTACCTTATCAATTCTGTTGCGCCACTTTGATATTAAACCATGCTTTTGATTGCAAAAAAAAAAAAAAAAGAATTGAAAGCAGATGCTCATATGAATGGTGTTCATAGCAGCATCATTCACAAAAGCCAAAAGGCAGAAGCAAACCCAATGTCCATCTACAGTTAGTCGGGTGAATGGATAAACAAACGGGGTCTGTGACAAGAGTGGGGAACCAGCAGCCTCAAGGCCACACGTGGCCCTCCAGATCCCCAAGTGCAGCCCCTCGACTTTATTAAAAGAATTTGTGCTGTAAAATTTGGATTCAGTCAAAAGGCCACACTCAAGGATCCAGAAGGCCACATGTGGCCCCAAGGCCGCAGGTTCCCCAATGTTTACTGAGCCTACAAAAGGAAGGAAATTCAGACTCATGCTGCAACAGGCATGAAACTTGAGGACGTTATGCTAAATGAAATGTCAGTCAAAAAAAAGACAATTACTCTATGATTCCACTTTATGAGGTCCCTAGAGTATTCAAACTCATAGAGACAGAAAAAATGGTGGTTGCCATGGGCTGGAAGGAGGGGAAATAGGAAGTTATTATTTAAGAGTTTCAATTTTGCAAGATGAAGAGTTCTGCAGGTGGGTGGTGGTGATGGTACACAACAGCATTCACGCACTTAATACCACTGAACTGCACACTTAAAATGGCTAAGATGGTAAATTTTACATTTTATGTATTTTACCACAATTTTAAAAAATAAAAATACATCTTTTAAACCCCCACAAACAAATATGTCTCTTATTCCTATGGAACAAATATACTTTTTGGGGGAGTCTTAAATGTTTTAGAAACTAATTAAACAGTATCTTGTATCTTCTAAAACAGCTTCAAGAATTGCAGAACGCTTTGTGGAGTGGATAACAGGAAATATGGCCTGACTAAACAGAAGGAAAGGAAATTATCATTTCCCTGCTTGTCTTCGACACTGTTTATGTAAAAATATTCTGCCCTCTTAGATGTTTTGACTTTTGGTGTCCTCCTCCTAGGCAGGCCGGAAACCCTCAGGGTTGACATCTTTACTCTTTGTTTCTAAGCAAGGACTGAAAGTCAGCACATGAAAAAGAATTTTGAATTAAAGACAGCAGAGTAAGGAATAGAATCTCCATTTTACTTACCTCCCAGGCAGGGATTCACACATTTGAAGTTTTGTAATTTTTCCTGGCTTACAAACCAGTGGCCTAATTAACTTTCTTAGGATTTCTTTCTCCTTCCCCAAATGACTTCCTCTATCATAAAGATCTTCCATAGATCCAAATAAAGTTTAAGAAATAGTTACAATAATAATATTCTTGGTAACACAAAAGCCCTTTGAATTACCAACCACCTCAACAACAATTTGTTTCTTTAGTGTATTTTAATTCCTCTATCTACAGTAAGAAGAACTTTGTTTTAAAAACCTCATTTTATATTACCAGTGAATTTCATTAAATACATTTTCATCAAAAATACACATAATCATGGATTTTAATTACTGTTTATGTAGTTATCTTTTGCTGCCTAGAAGACAGATTATCTACATAAATTATTTGGGACTCTTCTACTAAGGAAATGTGTCTCTTCTCCCCACGTTTTCATGTATTCAATATTTATTGATTTCAGTATGAACTCATGGATATTTATTTTATACTTTGAGTTATAATCAAATGCTACTTTATTTTGTTGCTCAAACTATTCCAGCGTTGGTCATTGTGGTCTTACATGGTACTTGGCAGAAGAAAAAACAAAAAATAAGACAAAACCAAGTATCTACTGGGTGCAGGTGTTATGTTGGATCCTTTTGCCCTTTAAATTTATTTTTAGTGGTGTTCAGTTTCTAAAGCTCATGTACTTGGCAGGAAAGCCTGGCCTGGCTCTGTAACCAGATGGTGACTGCACTAGTGATTTAACCTCTAGGAACTTCAGTTTCTTAATCTGTATACTGTGGATAATGCCTGATTTGCAGGGTTGGAGTGAAGATTATAAAATTAATATATGCTCCACAAAGGAACAAATGATTCTACTTATATGAGGTGCCTGGAATGGTCAAATTCATAGATCAGAAAGTGGAATGGTGGTTACCAAGAACTGGGGGTGAGAGGATGGGGCGTTATTGTTTAACGGGGACAGAGTTTCAGTTTGGGATGATGAAAAAGTTCTGGAGATAGAGGGATGGTTGCATAACAATGTGAGTATGTCTACTGCCACTGAACTTTACATTTGAAAATGGTTAAAATGATCATTTTAACGTTACGTATATTTCACCACAATAAAAAAGTAATACATTCATTGATGAAAACTTAGAAAACATTTCTGAAAGCCTCTCAAAATCCTTAGTAATCTCAGTACTCAGCAGTCACTTCTGTCTTTTGTAGCCTTTGTACACAGTTTGCATCCTATTTATACACATTTTTCTTTTAACATTATATTGTGGCCAGGCGCGGTGGCTCATATAATCCTAGCACTCCGGGAGGCCCAGGCGGGAGGATCGCTTGAGGTCAGGAGCAAGAGTGAGACCCTGTCTTTACTAAAAATAGAAAGAAATTAGCCAGACAACTAAAAATATATAGAAAAAGTTAGCGGGGCATGGTGGCAAATGCCTGTAGTCCCGACTACTCGGGAGGCTGAGGCAGAAGGATTGCTTGAACCCAGGAGTGTGAGGTTGCTGTGAGCTAGGCTGACGCCACAGAACTCTAGCCTGGGCAACAGAGCAAGACTCGGTCTCAAAGAAACAAAACAAAACAAAAACCAAAAAAACCCCATTATATTGTAAGCATTTTCCCATGCTGTTCAAAACTGTAAAAATATTTTTTATAGCTGTGTAATATTCTACCATCATTCAATCACTGCCATATTTTAGACGTATTGTTCAACATTATAAATAACACTCAAATGGACACCTCTCTGTGATTAAATACATCCTTAGCACAGACACTTAAGTGGAATGACTAGGCAACAGGTGAATGAATATTTTTAAGGCGCGTGATACAGGTTATCAGACCTTCTCAGAAAGGTACCCTGATTGCATTGCCACCAGCCACCCTGAAAACACTCATTTTAAAGCACCCACAGCGGGTTGCTCAGTGTTCTTTTTAAAAACCTTTTCCGCATCGATAGATGTAATACGGTACCTTATTGCCGCCATGAGGCCAATATCCTTTTAATCCCGCCCCCCAGTATACTCAGTTTCTCTTAAATTATTCGCATAAAATTGTTCGAAGCTGTTAATTCTTCCTCTTTACCGTTTGCCCTTAATTAGGTTTAATTATTGTTGACAACATTTTGAAGAAAGAAATGTGAAAACATTTTAATCCCTGAAGTTCTTCGATTTTTTTAACATTCTTTAAGGTAATTTAAACGACACGGAGTAGTCCCAGTGCTCCGACGCAGCGCCAGTGGCCCCCGGAAGGGCAGAGTCTACCCAAGCGCGGAGCCCAGGGGTCCGGGCCCGTCGCGTGCCACCACCCCAGTGGCGCCCCTCCCACCCGACCTGCAACGGGAGAGTGTCCCCGCCGCCCAGGAGGCACTTTCCAAGCCGGGCCAGGGGCCACTCGGAGGAAATCCTGTCGTGCCCCCAGCCTAAATAAGCCTAATCTTTCCCCAGCCCCCTACGGTGGGGAGGCCCCCACCGTGCCCCCCCCCCGGCCCCGGCCGGCCCCCGCCCCCCCGCCCCCGAAAGAACCCCCCCCCCCCCCCTCAACCCCCTCCCCCCCGGGTCCAACCCCCAAAGCCGGGGCGCCCCGGCCCCCCCCGGCCAACCCCCAAAGCAACGCCGGGCCAACGGGGGCCCCAAAAACGAAGCCGCCCCCCCCATCCCGGAGGGAGCGCGCCCCATGGAAACGCCCCGTCGCCCCCCGTGCCTGCCTTCGCTCTCCGCGCTGCCCTTGTCACTTCCCGCCGTCTCCTCCCCGAACTTCCTCGCCCAGCCCTTGGCGCCCCCTCCCGCGTTTTCCTTTGTCTCTTCCACACCCTTGCCCCGGCCTCCCCAAATCCTCTCCTTGACACCCCTCTGCCCCGCCCGGCCACGCGGCGCCCCGTCCTTGAGCTTTTCTGGTCCGCTCCCCATGCCCCGCTTGCCTGTCCCCACCGGGAACTTCTCTGGTCCTCTCCCCTCCTCCTCCCTGGGCTCCCCCTTTGCCACCCCTGACCCTCTCCGCAGCCCCTCCCGGAGCTCTCCTGTCCCCCCCACTCCCCGCCGTTTCCTGCGTCCCGTCCCCGCCCCGCCCCCGTTTTTAAACCTGGCGCCCGGCGCGCGGGGAGGTGAGTGCGCTCGCCCGAGCGCAGAGAGGCGCGGTGTCGGGGCCGGCGCCGCTGCAGGGACGCGGGCTCGGCCGGCACCATGAGACCGGAGGCGGCGGCGGCCGGAGCTCGGGAGGCTCCGGGCAGCATCTGTCGCTGCCCCGAGGACGGGCCCCGGAGGCCACTGCCACCGCGCGGGCCCGACAGGTGAGGGTGTCCCCGCGGCGTAGGCGGACGCGTGGAGAGGCGCGCGCGGTGTGGGTGCGGGGAGCGCAGCGAGCGGGGGCTCCCGCGACGCTGAAACCCCCGAGGCCGGGCGGAGCCCCTGGAGCTCGACGGCGACGCCGAGCAAGTTCCTTAGCGAGGACAGAGACCGGCGCCCGCTTCTCTGGGCCCCAATGTACAGCTCTGAACCGCGGAGGCCCAGGAGGTACCTGGCGAGGAAATGGGCCAACACTTCGGTGTATAGAAGATCTGAATTTATCCGACTGGGAAACACTGAAGTTTCGGGACCCGTGAGCCAGCCTCGCAAAGGGATCCCCTCGCGTTGTCACTTTCTTGGTGGCAGTCTTTGGTTTCCCTGCGCTTGGGGATCAGCGCTCGCTGTCTCTGTTACCAGCCCTTTTTCCTTCCTGAAAAAGGGCTAGTTTAAGGAAATCAAATTAGCCGGGGAGGTAGGGAAGGGGCTGGATGGGCCAGGTAGCCAAAGGGGAGAAACGGATTTTCCCTGTTTTGCGTTGTAGAACTCTATAGAATGGAAATCTTTCTGTGATCGGGACAGGGTGGGGAACCTGAGGTCTTGGGGCCACATGTGGCCTTCCGGATCCTTGAGTGCAGCCTTTTCACTGAATCCAAATTTTACGGAACAAATCCTTTCAAAAAAGGGATTTGAGTCGGGGCGCGGTGGCTCACGCCTGTAATCCTAGCTCTCTGGGAGGCCGAGGCGGGTGGATTGTTTGAGCTCAGGAGTTCGAGACCAGCCTGAGCAAGAGCGAGACCCCGTCTCTACCAAAAATAGAAAGAAATTAATTGGACAGCTAAAAATATAAGAAAAAATTAGCCGGGCACGGTGGCGCATGCCTGTAGTCCCAGCTACTTGGGAGGCTGAGGCAGTAGGATCGCTTGAGCCCAGGAGTGTGAGGTTGCTGTGAGCTAGGCTGACGCCATGGCACTCACTCTAGCCCGGGCAACAAAGTGAGACTCTGTCTCAAAAAAAAAAAAAAGAATAGTACAGTTGGACCCCCGTGTACCCAATCACCAGCCTTAATAGTTATCAACATTCTTCTGATCTGATCATATTTATCACCCCCCAATGACTTTTTCTTGCTGTTGTTAGCATATTTTATTTTATTTTTGAGACAGGGTCTCGCTCTGTCATCCTGGCTAGAGTGCAGCAGTGTCATCATGGCTCACTGCAACCTCAAACTCCTGGGCCCAAGTCATCCTCCTGCCTCCCGAGTAGCTGGGACTATGAGTGCACGTCGTCACACCCACCAATTTTTTTTTACAGACAGGGTCTTGCTACATTGCCCAGGCTGGTCTCAAATTCCTGGCCTCAAGCGATCCTCCTGCCTTGGCATTATTGGTGTGAGCCACTGTGCCCGATTGTTGTTAGCATATTTTAAAGCAAATCCCAGATATCCTACAAGTTCACCTACAAATACGTCAGCATAAATACCTAATTTTTTACATGGTTAAAAACTAGACTATGCTTATAT